GTTCTTTGACATACCACTGGTTCGTCAACCTTCTGCTCAGACACTGGTGACGGTTTTCAAAGTCTGAGTAGCATCTGCAAGCTCTTGAATATCGAATGAGTTGGGAAATATATATCCCATATGCAGGAGAAGTTGGTATATTGCTACTAAGGTTGGAGAAACTGATAATTTTAAAATTAAAATCGTCGTTTGTCATAGATTCTGGTAGTAAGATGACCGCTCATGTCAAATTCGAGGTATAAGTCTAAAAATGAGGCAGAGGAAGCCGTGTCTGTTGTTCCTTTAATTTCTAGTTCTGGGGGATATATTAATGGAGTTCAATCAGAAAAGTCTGAATTGTTAATGGAAAGAACAATATATATACGAATGTGAAATTAAATGATCTGGCTTCTTTGATCTTCTTGTTTATGACAAATGTCTGAAGGAACTCCGACTAATATGAAGATAAGAAGAGGTCACTGCCGCACAGTTCGCTCCCATAGAAATACCGACAATTTGGTCACAAAGTCTACCTCCAAATTCAACAAATATTTTGTCAATAAGAAACTCCAGCAAACTGGTCACTTGTTCCTCTGTGTAGCATGTTTTGTTTTTTTGTTCACTATTAACAAAATATGCCGTATGGTATCCAAAAGTAATAAATGTATACCGTGCGCTACCATTTTTATGTTGAAAAGCATTGTAGATTTAAATTATTCCTTTTAGACGATTTTTCAATTACACATAGGGACGGTGGTACACAGGGTTGATCAATTAAACGTTTTGATAAACTAATTTCAGAGAAAGATCGAGATTTATATTTGTTCAGAAGTTCTTTAAGAGTTTTTTAAAATCCATATATGGTTAATACCACTACGCGAGTAAACAGTTTCACGGTATTTCTTTCATTGCGGAAAGAATCTTTGTCAATCTAATGGACAATTCTTTCGTCGAACATGCAGATTAGCTGGCAATGTACGGCTGTTTGTATGGAATTTTTTGAAGCTTAGGTATCCAATACAAACAAAGTAAGTCCTCCGATTTGCTGCTCAAAGCAATGTTCATTGAAGCTATTAAGGACTTATGAACCACCAAAATCTCATCCTTGTCAAAAATGTTTTTTGTATGTGGGATTACATGAGTGCTCATTTATTCCTAATTCTTTTACACGACACTCGTAGTAGTACGATTTGCATACAAAGACAAGTCACGGGCAGTTAAATTGTTTAATGTACGCTTTACAGCATCTAATTTTGGTTTAAAAGGCTTTTTTTCTTCTTAGTCAGTTGGTAAATTGTGTAACTTCGTTTAATTACAAGCGTTTTTAAACAAACTATCAAAATTGAGCTGAAACACATATATATTAATTTGGATCTAAACCATGACAAACTTGATCAAAACCATGACGAATTTCTAGACACTTAACCGAACCATGTCATAACTTAACCAAACCATAGCAATTTCGATAGTTTGCTTATTCTGCGTTAGTTTCTTGAAAACAACAATTCCACTGTAGATCGTTTGACTAACAATGCAAATTAAAACATCTTATTTGCTTTTTATTTGCTCGTTTGAATAGAACTGAGGCAATCGTTAGGGGAAGTAACTTAACACAACCATGTTCATCTTAACCAAACTATGACAAAATCACTGTACTAAACGCTTCTCGATATGACGAGGTTACTACCCGTGGGCATAAAAGCATGGTTTAACCCGCCGTTTTCATCAGAAAGTGCCTGTACCAAGTACAAGAATATGCTGATTGTTTTTCATTCGTTCTTTTGGTTAAAATAGTCGAGCGTTTGATTTTATCAGGTTTTATGGACTTTCCCTTTTTTTAATTTACCTAGGAGTTTGGTATTTTTGTTCATATGTTTTAGCAACAGACAAACAATGTCTAAATTTCACGTTCGTTCAATTTTCAAAATTTGGCAATTACGGAATCCTTTACATTATAGATTGGCAAAGGAATTTTGTTAATTATAGATAATGCAGCATTGTATGCAAACTTTCTATTCTAAAACAAACATTATTATCGTTAAAGTTAGTGTGATAATAAATGGTTAGAATTTGTTTTTCGGGAGTTGTAATTCGTCAATAAGATTTATGCATTAAAGACTTTGCCAACTATCTTCCCAATGAGACGTTTCAGATTGCACTTTCTGCTATTCTACATTGTGCCCTAAGAAATTGTTATATACTTGTTTAAAATCAACATACACGTCATAGAAATTGGAGAAGCTTCTGAAAATCGTAGAAAAAAGTAGTTGTTAACGAGGGAGAGAGAAAACAGGTAAGACACTAAGAAAAAGAAAAAAAATTAAATTCCCTAAGACAAAGGCAACATTCTAGTTAAAATAATGAAAACAATATATATAAATTGTATTTAAGATTGAATATTATAATAAGCATGATGTGAATTATCGCGAAATCTTATTTCATGACATAATAGTCCTCCGCTTCGAATATTAGATAGGTTAAAGTACTTAGTATTACAAAGAATATTTTATATCTTACTTCTCTGTTAAAACGTCGCCTTACAACAAACATGATTACAAAAGAACGTTAACATTTTAATAATCAATTTATCTTCATCAGGAACGCTCAAAGCCGAATATTTGAAAGCCGAAGATGCATAAGTACCGAAACAGTTGAAGAGTTATATGACCAAAAATACCTAAAAATAGCCAAATCCGTCTAAGGTCAAATTTGCCTGAGGGAGTTGGAACCTTAGTTTCTTTATTCTTTATAATTTCAAAATTTATAAACGGACAATTTTAGAAAGGTTTGTTATGAATAATGTCAATACCAAAGTACTGACTACTGAGCAGATGATACCCTCTGGAACTATGGTAGGTTGTCATTTATAATTTTTTAAGTGTTTTGATAAAGGTAAATCCCCCCCCCCAAAAAAAAAGCTCTTCGGACGTATAGAAAGTATAAAGATTTATCCTCATTTACAATTGTGCAATTGTAATTTTAGCGGAACCTCGTTACTAAAACAGAACTATTCTTTTTAGCATGAGATATAGTGACGTATTTCGGAAGTTGTAACGAAATAATTTGACAGTACTGCAGATCAGTGGCAGTAATTCGCCATTTATCGTTATCGTTAAAATGAAAAAGTAAACATTTCCATTTCCAACCGCCCTTTAAGTTATCTGTATTTTGAAATAACAAAATTGTTACGTATAATATATTATATTCACATACGGAATAATTAAGAAGATAAAGAGATGTTATAATGTCACCAAAACAAAAGAATCATATGTGTGTTGTTTTTTTTATAGAGAGAGAGGCGACAGATGCCAAAAAGAACGTCATAGAGAAAAACAGAATCTAAGAACTTAAGTGGAATTAGCATGCAAAGAATAAAAGCATTTTTCATATTATATTTATCACATTGACCGAAATAAATCAACATATTCATATTAACTGTTTAGAGGAATAAAAACTAGAAAAAAATCTTACCTGAAATATATTTTACATAGATTCAACACTTGATAAAGATTTACAAAAGTTTCATCAATATTTCTGAAACATGATATAGACAGCTGGTATTTTCATATGAAAACAATATTATGGAATTTCTGTTTTGCAAAAATACACCATCACGTATTCGTCTCATTTTTTTTTTTTTCATTACAAGGAAAATATATGAAAACTTCAAAGTGCAAAATAAACTTGATGAAACCTTGTGATTTAAAAGGGGTTAGTCCGAATTTTTGAAGAACAAATTAGAAAGAGATATAGAAAAAAAACATTTCTGGTTTCAAAATTCTTAAATATTTTTGCGTCAGATTGGATGCGAATTTGTTAACTATATAAAATTGTAGAAATTGGATGTATTATAGTGTATTTTACAACATTACATCTCATGGAGTCCTTTTCAAGTTTAATTTTATTACGAACAGTCGTTCCAGAGTCATAGGAGTTTAATCGCTAAAAAATAAGGCAATTTGTCATATGTTTCAGGAAGACTCAAGTATGCTTCTCCAAATCCTAATGATTATTTTACAAAATGTAAGGTTTTAATTGTTTACAAAACGTAGGGTCTTATTTTATTTTCCAAAATGTAAGGTTTTATTTTTTAACAAATGTAAGGTTTTAAGAATTATTTTTATGATTTTCAAATGAATAGGTCCAGAGTTAAGGGTATTCAAATCAATAAAAAAAGACTAATTGCATATGCTTGGTGATAACACGATTTTGTTCCTTCAGATACAAATAAAGTTTTTCTAATTTCAAATCATAAACAATAAAACAGCCTTTTTTTTACTGTTTGCAGATTAGTCATCCAGATTAATGGGAATTGATACGACTGCCATACAAGTTAGAGGTTTAACTAGCTATAAAATCAGGTTTCATCCACCATTTTCTACATAAGGAAATGCTTGTACAAAGTCAGGAATATGACAGCTGTGTTTTCCATTCATTTGATATGTTTGAGCTTTCGATTTTGTCATTTGTTAAAGGATTTTTCGTTTTGAATTTTCCTTGGAGTTTGGTATTTTTGTTATTTTACTTTTTAGGTCATTTTTTCATATGTTTCTGACATCTCTTGTATGCATTCATGACTCCTTATGAAATTTATACATGCAAGTTTGTTTACTTAAAAACATTATCAAATCTACATATAACGTTCGCACAACCTGGTTTACGGACGAGTATAAAATGCAGATTTGTGATTACTAATTTTTTTAAATGGTATCGAAGGATCTTTATTTCTTTACATACTAAGGTTATGTCTAGATTCCACTTTTATATGTCGTCTACTGCTGGATGTACTTACATATTTTGACTTCTTTTATTGAATAACATTTTAAGGCTTATGTTAATATTGCACGATCGTCAGTTTATTTACTTCCAGATTTTATCAACCGCAATTACATTTATTTATATACGTCTTAATTATAGCTAAAATACATTAAAATGAAAATAATACCAAAATCAAATTCATCACGCTTATTTTTTTCTATATATTATATACGCCGTATGGCACTTCTGACATTTCATGCATTTTCTGCAAAGCATCAACAATGAAAATTCATGTTTTTTTATTGTTTATCTGTTCGTTTGCCACCAAAGTCATTTGGTGTGACACTGAAGCAAAGATGAAAATCTTGGGAAGTCTAACTGCCACTGGTTTGTATCAAATAATTGGCTTGGTAGTATCTGTCTTTCGAAGTCACTTGTAAAATTTAAAACGTACGCTACAGATTTTTTTGTGTATGATATTTTGTTGACTCTGGTATTTTAAAAGTTTTAAGACTAAAAATAACTGTGAAAGCAAAAAAAAGACCACAGATTGAATATTCATTTTTTTATTATGTTGATTATAAAAGTAACTTTTTCCAGTCCGACTAACTTATGAAAAGTAATATTCAAATTAGGGACAATAATATTACATGCACATTTTAATATCACTATTTTTTACACAGGTACAATGAAAAACTTTGCGAAGGACACCAGCAAAACAGTCAAACTTGCCACCGAAATTAAGAATATGCTGAACGGTTTGTATACTGTATTATTACTGAGTATTGTTAATCAATGAATATTTGTTCACCCAAAAAGTTGTTTTATTTGTACTATAGAATGTTTGCATCTAAAATTATTGTTATATTCTTTAGGTATGTGTGTGAATAGCAAAGATCATAACAGCTATAAGAAGATTGATGAAAAGGTCCAGAATATCTCTATAGGTACTTACTACATAATTATATCAACACTGTGTTTCATTTTATACAATATATTTATATATTGGTATGTCCCGTGAAGGATGAAAGCGCTAGACTTTAAACATTAGTGTTTATTTTTATGTTAATTCTATTTCATATACATAAAATACTATCTGAGTTCATGTTGGAAGTAAGTTCGCAAGGAACAGAAAAATCCATAGGACTTGGTATGTAGATCATCAGTTACCAACTAACATGAACCAAACTTAATGGTTGACACCTTTGGTCAAGTGTCAAGTTTATACAAATGTTGGTCAAGTTTATTTATCAAATACACTGTTGTTAACAATCATGTTACCTTGTGTGAGTTTGACATCTTGAGGACTCAGACAACAGTCCAACCCTATGAATAAGTTGCTTTGTCTTTCATTATGTTTACTTGAACCTGGTTAAGTCTTATGTCAAAGTGTGTTTCCCGGATACAATATAACCTACTATCACGTGACTTGATTTGAAAGTGAATCTTGTAGACTTTGACAGCCTGCAATCCTAAATTAAACACTTATATCTTCATTTCACAAGTTATGTAGAAATAATGTTAACACCTGAAACACAGCAAAAATACATCACTTAGAGCTATTTACCAATGCTTGTAGTTTAAAGGTTTGGTTGGTTTGCTTGCTTTGTTTGTATAAATGTTTGCTCAAGCATTGTAATTAAGATTGACTTTGCAATCAATAGATAGGTGGAGCTTCAGCTTGTATACATTATACTTACATGTCATTGGATGTTGAGTATAATGAGGAGTATAATGTATAAAAGCTGAAGCCCCGCCTATCTATTGATTGCAGATGTCAATCATAATTACAATGCTTAAGCAAACATTTATACAAACAAGCAAGCAAGCCAACCAAACCTTTAAACTACAAGCATTGGGAACATAATGATATAGTAAACATACAGTAATTCATTGTAACTAGTTTGACATGTATGTGCCTAGTTAATAATAATGAAGAAAAAAAAATGTATTCACATTCACTCTTAAACAAAGCAAGCAAATGTTACAATACTTAGGACTATAATACACAAAGAGAGGTCAAATTCGGGTATACATAGTGGATATAAAGTCATATGAAACGAGTTTCTTGAAATTTTAATGTTATCGAAATTATTGAACCAAACCATGCATATATACTAAACTAAGTCTTGTGTGCACATTTTTTATTTTTATTACGAATCTATAACGTATTATCGACAAATAATATTTCATTCAGTGATTGTTCATCACAACCTAATTAACTTTCGAGTTTGTTGTCGAAGTTTACCGGATCGTGACATTGATAAACAATAAATAAAGAGCAATTGAAAAACGTGACAAATAAGAGAATTGAAAAAGCCATGGTACTTGTTTTCATATTTTCCATGCGTTCTCATTTGTTAATTAAACTTTTCCTTAACAGTTGTTAAATGGTTTGTTGTATTGATTTGTTAATTAAGAATCTGTTATTACTATTTACCTTCCAGAGCACGTTTGTTTACATTCTTTCGTCACGGTTTTCCCCCTCGCACTTGCACTGCGCGTTTGCCGAAGTTATAACCAGAGGTATCATAGTTAAGGTCACTGCATACGGGAAAATATAGGCGAATTAGTGTCTGGGAAGACAATAATTCAATATGGGTACATTTATGAAGATTTTGATAATATAAAGGATTTTCTTTTTAAAGAAAGTTCACGTTCACTTGTTTTATAGTTGCCTAATACAATTTGTTTCTTAAACGTTTTGTGGTGGCATCCATGACCTTCAAACACATTCTACCTTTCTTATACTCTGTCTTAAAAAAAAGTTGTTTCCGGCCCAAACATTTTGGGCGTGCATCAATAAGTAATATATATAATTCGTCTCAAATTTAGCCCAACAATGTTAGATCTTAGAATTTGCGTTCTTCCCTTCAGCGGGATTCGAACCCTAACGTCTGTGACATCGTGGCAACACCGCCTGCACCGTGTCTAGCGCCCTAGACCACTCGACCACCTAGGCTACATAAAAATATAGCTTTCGTTGGTCGATGTAATGCCTTTCCTCGTCGGCTTTATATAGGGTTGTAACACAGTACATGATTTATAGTGGCAAGTAGATGGTATACCTTTTAGATCAGCTATTTTGCTACTACATCAAATGTCTACATGTATTAAATCAACAGGACCCAAAGTTTTGTTTGTTTGTGGTTTGGGTTTCTTCTCTATTTTTTTGCATTTATTTTTACTTTTTGTTGTTATTGGCGTTTTTTGTTTTGTTTGTTATTGTGGCTAATAATTTCATATTTGTATCAGTAGTTTTCGTTGGTCAACTTTCCTCAGCGGAAATTTAATATCTTAAATTATTCGACGGAAATAAAAAAAAATAACATTTAACTATAATTAATTACAAATGTTCATAATTCCTATAAATATTAAACACTTTTACGGGGTTGGAGGTAGATTATGTTGTTCTATTTTACTCAGGGAGTATTCATGTAATTTGTAGACATGAATGTGATCAAAGAAAAACTTGACAAAATACAGAACATAGTCAGTAACATTAAATGTGAGTAAACCATTCACACAGTTTTCCAATATAATACCCTTTGGTATCTCCAGCCCTCTTCTTCTACAAAACAGAGTATTTTATTTATAAATAGAATTTGTTCACTGTTCACAAAATTGAATAGACACCAAAAGGAAGCTAAACATTTTCAAATGACAACAGAAATAAAACTAAATTTATGAGATTTTTAATTTAAATTATTTGAATTATTTAAATAAAAATAAAACGCCAATTTTATTAATAACGACTAGAAAACTATAATATTTTGAAATCTTCGAATAATATCTTCAAGTTGAAGTTAAAGTAATTAAAACATTTGACTGTTAGAGAAGAGCCTTTCATAAAGTTTCTTTGTTTTATATAGGCAATCCACATGAGGAAGGAGGATGGACTGTAAGTATAGACTAAAATGTGTGTGTGTCAAAGTAGTAGTAGACATAAATGTAGTAGAAGTAGTGGTGGCTGAATTATTTAGTTATTTTTTTTATTTCTTTCCTTCCTTGTTATGAGGGTAAGAATGTTTTATGCTATTATATTAATAATTTGTTTTATCATCATTAGTATTTGATTTGTTCAAGTAGTATCAGGGGCAATTAAACCATGAATTAAGGATCGATTTGAAGGGCCAAAATTTAAAAGTGCGTAATACGGAATCATCGCTGTGTGCTAATCATCATTTTAATATCACTATTTTTTACACAGGTACAATGAAAAACTTTGCGAAGGACACCAGCAAAACAGTCAAACTTGCCACCGAAATTAAGAATATGCTGAACGGTTTGTATATTGTATTATTACTGAGTATTGTTAATCAATGAATATTTGTTCACCCAAAAAGTTGTTTTATTTGTACTATAGAATGTTTGCATCTAAAATTAATGTTATATTCTTTAGGTATGTGTGTGAATAGCAAAGATCATAACAGCTATAAGAAGATTGATGAAAAGGTCCAGAATATCTCTATAGGTACTTACTACATAATTATATCAACACTGTGTTTCATTTTATACAATATATTTATATATTGGTATGTCCCGTGAAGGATGAAAGCGCTAGACTTTAAACATTAGTGTTTATTTTTATGTTAATTCTATTTCATATACATAAAATACTATCTGAGTTCATGTTGGAAGTAAGTTCGCAAGGAACAGAAAAATCCATAGGACTTGGTATGTAGATCATCAGTTACCAACTAACATGAACCAAACTTAATGGTTGACACCTTTGGTTAAGTGTCAAGTTTATACAAATGTTGGTCAAGTTTATTTATCAAATACACTGTTGTTTACAATCATGTTACCTTGTGTGAGTTTGACATCTTGAGGACTCAGACAACAGTCCAACCCTATGAATAAGTTGCTTTGTCTTTCATTATGTTTACTTGAACCTGGTTAAGTCTTATGTCAAAGTGTGTTTCCCGGATACAATATAACCTACTATCACGTGACTTGATGTGAAAGTGAATCTTGTAGACTTTGACAGCCTGCAATCCTAAATTAAACACTTATATCTTCATTTCACAAGTTATGTAGAAATAATGTTAACACCTGAAACACAGCAAAAATACATCACTTAGAGCTATTTTCCAATGCTTGTAGTTTAAAGGTTTGGTTGGTTTGCTTGCTTTGTTTGTATAAATGTTTGCTCAAGCATTGTAATTAAGATTGACTTTGCAATCAATAGATAGGTGGAGCTTCAGCTTGTATACATTATACTTACATGTCATTGGATGTTGAGTATAATGAGGAGTATAATGTATAAAAGCTGAAGCCCCGCCTATCTATTGATTGCAGATGTCAATCATAATTACAATGCTTAAGCAAACATTTATACAAACAAGCAAGCAAGCCAACCAAACCTTTAAACTACAAGCATTGGGAACATAATGATATAGTAAACATACAGTAATTCATTGTAACTAGTTTGACATGTATGTGCCTAGTTAATAATAAAGAAGAAAAAAAAATGTATTCACATTCACTCTTAAACAAAGCAAGCAAATGTTACAATACTTAGGACTATAATACACAAAGAGAGGTCAAATTCGGGTATACATAGTGGATATAAAGTCATATGAAACGAGTTTCTTGAAATTTTAATGTTATCGAAATTATTGAACCAAACCATGCATATATACTAAACTAAGTCTTGTGTGCACATTTTTTATTTTTATTACGAATCTATAACGTATTATCGACAAATAATATTTCATTCAGTGATTGTTCATCGCAACCTAATTAACTTTCGAGTTTGTTGTCGAAGTTTACCGGATCGTGACATTGATAAACAATAAATAAAGAGCAATTGAAAAACGTGACAAATAAGAGAATTGAAAAAGCCATGGTACTTGTTTTCATATTTTCCATGCGTTCTCATTTGTTAATTAAACTTTTCCTTAACAGTTGTTAAATGGTTTGTTGTATTGATTTGTTAATTAAGAATCTGTTATTACTATTTACCTTCCAGAGCACGTTTGTTTACATTCTTTCGTCACGGTTTTCCCCCTCGCACTTGCACTGCGCGTTTGCCGAAGTTATAACCAGAGGTATCATAGTTAAGGTCACTGCATACGGGAAAATATAGGCGAATTAGTGTCTGGGAAGACAATAATTCAATATGGGTACATTTATGAAGATTTTGATAATATAAAGGATTTTCTTTTTAAAGAAAGTTCACGTTCACTTGTTTTATAGTTGCCTAATACAATTTGTTTCTTAAACGTTTTGTGGTGGCATCCATGACCTTCAAACACATTCTACCTTTCTTATACTCTGTCTTAAAAAAAAGTTGTTTCCGGCCCAAACATTTTGGGCGTGCATCAATAAGTAATATATATAATTCGTCTCAAATTTAGCCCAACAATGTTAGATCTTAGAATTTGCGTTCTTCCCTTCAGCGGGATTCGAACCCTAACGTCTGTGACATCGTGGCAACACCGCCTGCACCGTGTCCAGCGCCCTAGACCACTCGACCACCTAGGCTACATAAAAATATAGCTTTCGTTGGTCGATGTAATGCCTTTCCTCGTCGGCTTTATATAGGGTTGTAACACAGTACATGATTTATAGTGGCAAGTAGATGGTATACCTTTTAGATCAGCTATTTTGCTACTACATCAAATGTCTACATGTATTAAATCAACAGGACCCAAAGTTTTGTTTGTTTGTGGTTTGGGTTTCTTCTCTATTTTTTTGCATTTATTTTTACTTTTTGTTGTTATTGGCGTTTTTTGTTTTGTTTGTTATTGTGGCTAATAATTTCATATTTGTATCAGTAGTTTTCGTTGGTCAACTTTCCTCAGCGGAAATTTAATATCTTAAATTATTCGACGGAAATAAAAAAAAATAACATTTAACTATAATTAATTACAAATGTTCATAATTCCTATAAATATTAAACACTTTTACGGGGTTGGAGGTAGATTATGTTGTTCTATTTTACTCAGGGAGTATTCATGTAATTTGTAGACATGAATGTGATCAAAGAAAAACTTGACAAAATACAGAACATAGTCAGTAACATTAAATGTGAGTAAACCATTCACACAGTTTTCCAATATAATACCCTTTGGTATCTTCAGCCCTCTTCTTCTACAAAACAGAGTATTTTATTTATAAATAGAATTTGTTCACTGTTCACAAAATTAATAGACACCAAAAGGAAGCTAAACATTTTCAAATGACAACAGAAATAAAACTAAATTTATGAGATTTTTAATTTAAATTATTTGAATTATTTAAATAAAAATAAAACGCCAATTTTATTAATAACGACTAGAAAACTATAATATTTTGAAATCTTCGAATAATATCTTCAAGTTGAAGTTAAAGTAATTAAAACATTTGACTGTTAGAGAAGAGCCTTTCAGAAAGTTTCTTTGTTTTATATAGGCAATCCACATGAGGAAGGAGGATGGACTGTAAGTATAGACTAAAATGTGTGTGTGTCAAAGTAGTAGTAGAAATGTAGTAGAAGTAGTGGTGGCTGAATTATTTAGTTATTTTTTTTATTTCTTTCCTTCCTTGTTATGAGGGTAAGAATGTTTTATGCTATTATATTAATAATTTGTTTTATCATCATTAGTATTTGATTTGTTCAAGTAGTATCAGGGGCAATTAAACCATGAATTAAGGCTCGATTTGAAGGGCCAAAATTTAAAAGTGCGTAATACGGAATCATCGCTGTGTGCTAATCAATTAAATTTTGTTACTGTGTATAGACCCTAAATATGAAAAAAAAAACGTTAAGTTCATTATCTTACGGATTATGCATTTTTTCAGAAAAGAGTTCTGTCAACTTTTGTTAGTAATAATGTTCTGATGATGACGAAAAATTAAGTTCAGCCAGTCGTTGATGTACATATAAACGAACCAATAATGGGAAGAATCTTTCAACTGTTATCATGGGTATCACTAGAAAAATGTATGATTTGACAATCAAATTCAGAATTATTCAAAGAAAGTGACTGCTATTATCAGGCTTTATCTCTTTATTAATAAAGAGTTCTGTGCTGAAAAAAGACGCCATTTTAAGTTGTATACCAAGATAGTAGAAAGTATTCCAAGAAGTGGTTTTTTCTATTACTGAATGTTTGTCTGTTTGTCAGAACTCCTTATATATTTTGTGAGTGGTTTCCTGAGCCCAAGTCTATCTTCGTTATATTACAATCACTTAGTCTGTTTTATAGTTGTTTTACTATACTAGAAAGGGAGAGTTTTATATGTGGTGAATAAAGTACAAATGTATATTAAAATTCTTTAGCTACAATTTGGAAATTATATTCAAATTAATTAGTTACATTTCAGATTCATCAGCTACAATTTCAGAAATGTTGACAACAGAAACAAAATGATCGGGTAGGTTCATATGGGCAATAACGGTTTTTCTTTTGTTGTATGTGTTAGGTTATTCAAAAACGGTATGATGGTAGTGTTGAATTCCACAGAAATTGGAAAGATTATGAAAATGGATTTGGAGACAAACATGGAGAGTTCTGGTTAGGTAAGACAGATATGATTTTATATAAATTTCAAAGTCTGTGTGATAGATCGTTGTTTGTAATATAACGTTTTACCAATAAATGCACATCCTTGTTTAAAGACTTTGTAAGTCAATCAAAACATTTTAATGCAGGCTTTTAAAAATATCCCACAGAGTTCATCATATTCTGACACTATTTTGTGTATCAAACTTTTTTTTTCATTTATTTCATTGTTTTGTGGATTATACAGACCTTTATTTAAAATATTCGTGCTGTGTTTGGTTGTGTTAATCAATATGCACAGAAACATTTCAGGCAACAAGAATATAGCACAACTAACATCAGAGGGAAATCATGAACTTAGGATCGATGTGGAGGATTGGGATGGCAAAAACCGTTATGCAGTTTATAGAAACTTCTCAATAGGCGACGCATCTACAAAATACAGATTGAACATCGGCAAATACTCAGGAAACGCAGGTAAATATAATAAAATATGTTGTGGTACTAAAGAGGAAGTGTTCTGTCTATCCTTCCCCAGAAAACATTGCATATGTTGACATTTCAAACTTTTTTGTCAAGGGTTATGGAAAGATTATTCACATGCATAATGCACTTTTTGTGATGCCTACTTAATGGACATGCCCAATCAACATATTTTTACAGTTTTAACGATTTTGTCATAGAGATAGTCATGTTCATAAACCATTAAAACTTAAAGTTTTAAAGCTGTATGTGTGTTTTGGGGTTCTTGATCATTGCATTAAATAAATAGTCAATGGTAAAGATGACTCCTAAAATTAATTTTGATAACTTTAGGTAAAGAGTGGTCTATTTTTATAAGAATATCTGTGTTTCCGTGTAATTATAAAAACAAAACATTGCCCAATAAAATTGCGTTTAAATTGGTAATAAATGAATATGATGACCAATTCTGGTCAATTTTGCTATCAGAATCTTTGGGTACGATATCTAAAAAACATGCAGACATCTTATACGTTCAGGTATTTCACATCCAATCTTCTATGGTAATATTCTTTACAAAGCACAAAAATGTCGGCATTCACCTCAAAAGCTAACCAAAACTTTTAACAGACTTATTCAGAAGGGATATAGTTACGATACTGTTGTCAGGTCATTAAGAATGGCATATGTTGGTATTAATATTGATTCACTCATAGGGTCTTTGCATCGGAAATAAACACATTTATTCTAAAACCAGTTGTTGGCATGATACGGGTTATGTTCTTCTCATATTTTTTATGACGGTATGATACTAAACCCCTAACGGGATGGATTGTGCTTGATTTTCATATGATGAAGACATAATCTTTCAATCAGTTTAATTAAGGTCTGGAGCTGGCATGTCAGGATTTTGTCACTGCGTTGAAGACCAATTGGTGGACTTCGGCTGTTATCTGCTCTTTGGTCGGGTTGTTGTCTCTTTGATATATTCCCCATTTCCATTATCAATTTTAATCATAGATACTTAATGAGGCTAATGTAGTATTTTGGCAGATTTATAACGTTTTCTTTAAATGAAGACAAAATGAAAAACGCGTATATTCTGACTTTGTTTTTGAAACATCTTAAATGTTTTAGATATTTATAAAATATTGTGATATCTAGTGCAGAAGTACAAAAGTTGTCCGTACTTTATTTTCTCGTTAGAATAATTTGATAAAATTGAGAACAAAATTAAAGCGTTTATTACAATAATTAGAGAAAAACTCAAAACCAATCAAAAGGGCACTTGAGTATTCTGTACTTTAATAGAATTTAATTTTGGTTTGGGCTGTTCTTTTATGCCGAAGAATCAAATTTAAACAAAAAATCATTCAACAGAAAATGCGGAGTTGAATACACTTTGATGTTTTGGGCATTTTGCATTTAAAGTCTCTTATCTAACATTCAAATTCAAATTCAAATATCAGGGCTTTTTTTATTTTTTTTTTAATCAAAATCAATTCCAAACTAAACAAATATCTCAAAAAGGAGTTCCATAACCTATCAATATTTTTAGCTTATTTTGTTCCTTAACTAATTCTCTCCTGACTTATAGTATCAATTTCAAATTCTGATTTTTATAATTTCACTTAAGTACATCATTAAGAAACATTATCGCCTACTATTATTAAATTTCACACAATCGGCCTTTAAACGCTTCTCATGGCTAACCAAATCAAATGACGTTACTTCGAATAACGAAATTAAGAATAAGCAATTTACGGCCGTGTCCATTGATACAAAACTGAGAGGCGAAATATACCAAAGGGAAAGTCGAAAACATACTGATTATGCCATAACAAAAAAAACAAAACCGACCAAAAGTCAAACAACAGTAACCAAAACGGAACATAGAAAACAAAAGACTGAGCAACACGAACAAGTATATGTACTGTTCAAATGAAGCAGGATAATGACATGTCGTGGTTAATATTGCATACATTCAAGAAGAAGCTTCATCTCGTCTCTTCCGCTGTTGAGAGGTGATACTTTAAACGGCCTAGAAGTTTAATGCTTTCTTTTTCTCTTTTAGGTGACGGAATGAGCTATTTTAATGGGATGAAGTTCTCAACATATGATCAAGATAACGACAAAGTTAGTAGTTTGAACTGTGCTGATCATTCCTCCTTAAAAGGTGGGTGGTGGTACAATAACTGCTGGATAAGAACTAGCGCCATGCTAAATGGACATTACACCCGTAGAAATAGTTCTATACAGGGTATTAGATATCGAACGCTTGGAGAACTTACTCAGAAAAAATCTACAATGAAGATTCGAAAAGTGTAATTACAAGTCTTACCATTAATAAATGCAAGCAAAATAATGTATTTTTAGTGTTGTTTATTTCTCTACATCATATCGGTAAAAACGTGTGGTATTAGGATGTAGATGAAAATATAATGATTTATGAAATATAGTGCATCAGAAGCGCTTTTCTGGATTCGCTTTCATCATTGATTCAGGAACGCTTAAATCCAAACATTTGAAAACCAAGGATCTATAGACACATAGAAATGTTTGGAGCTATATGACCATATTGAACATAAAAAGAATATCCAAATTAATCGAAAGTTTACTTTGCTTGAGGGGATTTACGGGTTATCCGGTTAAAAAGCAGTAAAATTGCAAAACGACACATCACACATGAATGGATACAATCAATACGTATCATCAGACAATGTTTTAAAAAATTGTTCAAATTATTATATATTTTTTTTTAATTTTCAAAAATATTAACACATCAAGTTCTAAACCTCATACTAAAATGAATTTAATCTTACTCATCATGTTAATGATTTATTCAGCCTCTGTTGCTTGTAATATCTAAATCTTAATTGTCTTTCCTAAATGACCACTTCCCTTGTCAGTAAGTCAGGGGCCAGTATCATGAAGCAATCTTAGTGTTTAAGATCATCGTAAGATCATATTATCTGCTAAGAGTGTATCTTGAAGTAATCTTAGAATGATTGACAGCCCTTAAAATTCATGTTGCGCTCGCAACCCTAGGAGTACTCTTTATACTTCTCGGAACGCTCTCTATCTTTTAATATTAACGACTGGGTATCTCGAACGTCGATAATCAACTTAAGATCGTCTTTGTACTGAAAACTTAACAGAAATTTCTAAGAGTGGTTAGGACCAACCCTTTCTCTCTTTTAGTTGATAAAATAGCGCTTGCAATGTTCTTGCCTGTTCGTTCAAGAAAGCAAAATAGGATATCCATAACGATATTCAGAGATCGAACAAATCCATTGGATTCCTAGACGACAGTAGGATTGTCTGTGATTAAAAAATCGGAAAATGTCATCTGAATAACTGTCAACATTGTTTCCGATTCATTCTTGTTAAAGTTGACTTTTCTTATAATAATAAGATGTGGTATGATTGCCAATGAGACAACTAATCTCACAAGGTTCGAACGAAGTGGGTGTAAGCAATTATAGGCAATCATGCGGCCTTCGGCAATAACAAATCAATACAATATATTCGGCTATTAAAGTCATCGACATAAAAAATGTGAACAATTAAATTGAGAAAACCAACGGCCTAATCTATAATAAATCATTTTACGAAAAATAAATAGGACAGACATGAACATGATGAACCAACGTCAACCACTGAACTTCAGGCTCCTGACATGGGACAGGCACATAAAGAATGAGGCGGAGTTAAACATGTTTGAGAGCGCTCAATCTTCCCCTACCCTGGGACAGTGGAGTTACAGCACAACACAAGAACACACTCTGAAAATCAGCTGAAAAAGGCTTAACTCATCAGATCGATACAAAGCAGAAAAATAGCTAGCAAATACACAAACCGGACGTTGCAGGGTATGTATACATCCCGAACAACGAAAGCGGAAAGTACAGATCTGAGGGTACTCGCAGTTACTGACAGCTAGTTCAAAGCCAATAACAACTAATTAAAAAATCATCTTCTAAGACTTAAATATTAGTCAGTACACATCCAACGTCCAATGAATTTAATTTACTGATAACAAAATCAATATTTATACCAACAAAAAAAATATTAAAGGTATAATAATTACAGTGTTGAAATGGTAACCTTTTAGAATAATTTTTTTTAAAGGAGTGATAAGTCCTGATAAGTTTACCCGGATCGTATCTTAATTTTTAGGCTCGGTAAACAAGAGGGTAGGAATGACCTTTACCGTCAGACGTCAGTAGTCATTTTTATCGTCATAAAGAAAATGTACATTTTATCGTCATGCATTAAAAATTACCGTTAACGTCATTTGGCAAGATTTTTTTACCGTTATTCGTCATGAAGGTACCCCCATTACAACCCTCAAACAACATCACCGTAAAATTAGGATATGCTATTTTGTCTGAAAGTTTACTACAGGTATAGCCAAACTCGCAAACCGAATCTGTGTATCTTTGGAAAAAATTAGTAAAGGTTTTTAGTAATTTGTGGTAACGAAATCCTTGACTTAATAATTTACTAGTAAAACTTAGATTACGTTCATTAAAATCTAAAACGTCACTACAGACAAGGACATAGCGAACGAGTTGGAAAATATAAACACCGCAAGACGGTGCCAAAGGAACATCACCGTAAAAAAGGGAAAATTAACAATAGGGAAAGAAAAATCTACCCTTGTTTTCTTCGGACCATTGGGTACCTCCTTCTGCCCTTTTTGTTTTTTTATTCAATGTTTGAAAATATTTTTTTTAATATAAAAATAAGGAGATATGGTATGATTGCCAATGAGACAACTATTCACCAAAATTCAAATGAAGTGGATGTAAGCAAATATGGGCAATCGTATAGGGTCTTCAACAATGAGAAAAACTCATACCGTATAGTCGGCTAAAAATCGGATAGACATGAAAAATATTATACTATTCAAGTGAGAAAAATAACAGCCTAATTTATAACGAAACAATTTACTGGTACGAAAAAACATATATGACAGACATGTACCAACGACAACCATGTGTGCAAAAAACGACAATCACCCAATTACACTCAATGCTCAATAATCAAATAATGACTCTGGACCGAGCTTTTGACAGGCACATATAAGATTATATAGAATGTGGCGGGATTAAACAAGTTTGTACGCGCTAACCTCCCCTAACCTTGGACAGTGACAGTACAACATAACAAACAATAAAAACAAGTATTGAATTTTAATAAGTATATTTTTCGATCGTTTTATTAAACGCACAGATTACTTTTACTATCGATTTTGCCTCGAATTCTTATATTCTCTTCAAAAATTAAAGGCGGTCACTTCGGAAGTACTATCTTAACTCGCAGTCGAAAGTGTATACTAAGATAGCTGTAAAATTATTAAGAGTAACCCACGAGGGGATTGGTGATACGCTCTTAGCACCATCGTAACTTTCTCGTAAAGCGTTTGTAAGTTTTATCTTAAATGAAACTTAAGATAGGTTTTCATGATATTGGCCCCAGGTAAGGTAAAAAATTTTAAATAGCAACTGTCCTGTTGGTTTGGTCTTGTTGTTTCCTATTTATATTGGATACCAACATTGTTCCTCTTTTTGCTTTTTTTTTTTTTCTTTTTCTTATATACAAGCTTCCTACTGTAACTTCTAATGAAGAATACAATGGAGCCAGTATTATTCTTGAACTCAACGTTCAGCTATATGATTTATTCTCTTTCATGACCAATTGGGTGACTTTAGTTTAAACAGCATGATTATATCCTTTTGAAAAAGGGATACCAATGATAAAGATAATTAAAATATTTCTTCTTCCCAAAATAAGATAGTGCGGATTAGATGATTTCTTAACATTACGAGAAATTCTATTTCAAATTTTCAATAGATGAAAAATATACAATCACAATATTCATTGTGTCTACTTACTTTTTCTCCTTGAGGGAATGTGACCCTCTTCATAAGGCATGCCACTACTAAGCCCCATAGTAAGGGGACCACCCATTTGACAATCTTGTTAGGGCCTGTAACATCCATTTATCACTAAACACAGCAGTCTACATCCTTGACATGCGTGGTAGTGCATGATTTTAAACAGATGCATGGTCTGAGTTTGGATTTGGAACGAATTAGATCTAGTACTGAATGTTGCAGATTCCATCGTTGATTTGACAACTTGAATCGAATATCTTTCATCTACTATAAGTTTTGGCTAATCCTTTCGGAATATTGCTAGTGAACGAATTTTTATCGTAGAACTTTGTCCTCAAGATAAATCCAATTGATAAAATGTATCCCGGAGATATCTAGAAAGGTAATAACCGGTTACCATGTTAAAACATTTGTGTAAGAAGTTACACACAAGAATTCGGATCTGACGAAACCGACCAGTTCAGAAAAGAAATCTGAAAATCAAATTCTCAGGAAGTGGTTTTTACGTGGAATGCCATGGTAGGAAGGTGGCAGAGACTGAGCTAGTGTTTTTTGAAAAATTGCTCCTTGAACGAACTTTTCTTTTGTGCTAGACGCAGAATTAATTCTGAAAAAAACAGGGTGGAAAACTGAAAGGATAATAATAATTTCCTTCTTTGTATATATCGTTACGCTTCCGTCATCGAAAATGGAGATAGCTTTATATTTGATATCTATTAAGATCAGATAAAAATATTTTATAGTGTTGTATCTTTATTATTTTTCATGTATTTTTTCTGTAGATAATTGTTATCAAAATTATATAAGTAGTATGTTAAATTGTTTACCTGGTTTGAACTCAATCTAGCAATTCTTAGCAAATCAAGCAGTCCAGAATTCGGGATATTACACAGTTAAAAAATCCATGATCTATCTCCAATAGAAATACAGGGATAAATTTCGAAAAACAACACTGTTTGTAGTGATGTGTTCTATCTGCAGAAAAGGGGGGCTATATTTATCTAAGTTACTCCTCATGTACGTCAATTCGATTCCTATATTACTTTTTATGTCTCAGTCAATTATTTATGATAGTGCGCTTTTAAACTTTAGTTAAAATGTTTACCACTACTTAGTATTACCAAATGGACATACAATATTATTAGATTCACACGATGAAATATTTGTGTATATCATTTGACCTTTCAAATCCAGTAGTTTTTGATATTCATATTTAAACCTTTTGAGTGAAACAAATAGAGTAAATGGTTTATTGTGTTTATTCGTATGCTTTCCAATGACGGTAGTTAATATACAAACAAGAAGATGTTGTATGATTGACAATGACGGGGATGATATCATAAATAGGTCACCGTAAGTCCTTGACTATGAGCAAAAGTCATACTGTATAGGTTGCACTTTGTAAATACAGCTGTTTCTCAAACCACGCCTCTTTTGGGGAGATATTTAA